AATCATGGTTCCACCAATGAAGGAAACTGCTCCTATGAGCCCCACTTCCCTCTGCAGATTGAGTCCATGTGTGTCATGTCCCATGGTCAGAAAGGTTTTGTCTTCTCTGAAGCAGCAGCGAAGAACAGACGTGCAGTTACAAAACGCTGCCTGTTGCCCAATAGGAGGAGTGCACAAAATTAAACTGCTATGAAATTAAAACGAGGCTACTTTTAAGCAGATTTTAAGAATGTCTGCTTGTCCAGAGTTGGTTTTTTCTTAGATTTCACGTTAACAATGATTTATTTTAGGTTCTGCTCTATAAAACACAGTTGGAGAAACAAAAAATTCAAAATAGAGACGGTTTTGAATATTTCCAGTCTACTGGAAATGTCCCTGCAAGCCAAGTTGATTCTTCTGGTGTCCTCAATTCTTTCTCTGGTGTTTGTTCGTTTTATGTATACTTGTGTCTGGATCTACGTGACCTACATGAAGATTAAAAAAAAAAACAAAAAACACTGAACTTCCAGTAAAAGATTAGACAGGGCCTCATCTGAGTGAAGAAAGTAACAGAGTATCTGCATAACAATGTTATCAGAGGAAGGACGTGACTTGACCTGGTTCTCCCTTGTGCCAGTTTAAGCAGTCCAACAGAATAACATAAAACTAAGTTGAATATTTACTTTCTTTAATACTTTGCTAAACCATTTAGTTGTATGGATGTAAGTCCCAAAAAAATGAATTTTGGAGCTGAATCTGAATGATAGAAGTGAAACTGAAATTATTCGAGAGCTACACTTTTAAAGGATAAAATACAGTTTCAAAGTAAATGAATTCATTTTCAAAATATAAAATTCAATTTCAATTTAGTGACGATAATTTTCAAAACTGTACATTGAATTTCAAATTAGACTGATTCAAATTCAGTTTTAAAAAGCATTTATTCAAGTTACAATTCAGGTTCAGTTTCTGATGGCACAAAGTTCTGCCCATACTCTTCTTTTAATTAAATTGGACTCCAGTATGATATAATAGAAAAGAACACCAAGCACCAAGCTGCCTAAAGCAGTCAGTGGAAATGGGTTAATTATTATGAACTGGCGTGAACAAAAAGGGACGATCACACTGAAGTTTCAGTCATTTAAGATAAGGATAAATTAAGTTTGTCATAAGTTGAGAAATTCTTTAAAAATATTAAATTCCTATTTAAACAGTAATATTATTATATAAAATGCTGTAAGGAGCTGCAACTAAAAACAAAGTATATGTTCTGGAAAAGCTGGAGATACAGAAAAATGTTGGTCAAAATGCTTCTTGTTGTCAAAATATATTCTGATACTTGATCCTCATATATTATATTCACCAAACATCTTTATATACAGTCTTTGAGATCTAGGAGTCACACCTCATTGGAGTTAGGACCGAAATGATAGCAAAGCAAACATACTCTACTCTCGTGTACATTTATTATCGCCATACAACACCTCAGACACTTTGATCACTTATTTACAGAGTGTTATAGACATCCTGTGTTAGGACAAAGTCAATAAATTACCCGAGGTACAAATTCAGAGTTAAGGAAGAAAATATAGCAGCATATAGGCATCTTTTGCACTAATGCATCAAATCATTCTTGACAGGTTTTAAGCTGTATTTTAAAAAAAAAATTAGCATGAATAAATGCTACTATTTCAGGTCATTTCTGACCCTTTCAGCCTCACCTCTGGTTTGTTCAGCTCCTCAGTCACATAGTTTAAGTTGTACCAGCCAGCGTAAGACCAGAGGCCTTGATAGAAAGCCATTCCCAGAGTGCCCACAGAATACTCTGTGCCTTGAAAAGCATTCTCAACATTAAAATTTTCCTCGATCACAGTGCTGCTCTGTATGACTTTCACTAGCCCTCCAATTACAATGAAAGTGAGTGAAAACACTTTGGCCACCAAGAAGATCACCTGCACTCTCAGAGCAAATCGGACATTCAGGATGT